CTCCACTTCTAGGCGGTCTGTGTCACTGTTGGAGGGACGACCATTAAAGGGTCGTTCCCACTGGGGTTTATCTGAGCTAACGAACACAACTAACGTAGTCGACCCATCTCCAAAACCAGTTTAAATCCATAGGGCAGCAAGTTGAAAAATCTTAACTGCGGGCACAGCGGAGCTAGTCGGCACATCGAACTGACTCCGCTAGCTCAGATAAACCCCAGTGGGAACGGCGCTTAAGAGCTATCGCAGAGTTAAAGTCGTCGTCACATAGAGACTGTCTTGAAGGATGAAACATTCACCCCACACACAGAAACTAATACTGCGCGGATTTCTTTGGCGTTGTTCCCCTTCAAATACAAAATCAAATCACCACAAGCACCACTTCCCCGGGGCATCAATCATCTTGACTTCTCTGCTTTGATGACTTGCCAAGAACACCACAGCATGGGAATCTTTGCACCTGCATAGACTGCAAGGACGTGCCAACACCCTGGTGACAACAAATCATCACTGTACCTAATTTTTCGTGATGACTGTTAGAACTTTAAGATCCCCCAACGTAATATTGAAATTTGCATCTTGATTTTTCATACACAATTTGAAATAAGGAAAATATTTCCAAAATTAAAGTATTTTACGTTTAGATGTAAATAAGAAAACGGAAACGGAATATATTTAATTATTCATTAGTCTAACAATTCATATTTTAAAATCTTATGCTTAAGCTGTAAATTTTAACAAAATTTGCATTAATTTTTTAATTTCTTAACTGTTTGTACTATAATAAAATGGAATAATGTATAAAAATTACTAGTATAATAATACTGTGTGTTTAATGTCTTAAACGCTTATTGGGGGGAATCTTTTTTCACTTTGTATTTCTATGTTAAGGTACACTACATGATCAGCATTCCAATTTTGTATAGCAGGTTTTGTTTTTTACAAGCATTTGAACTATAATGATACTGTAAGTTATTCTGAGCCCACTATCAGCTCACAGCCTAAACCCTCAAAATACTAATAGTTCATCTTGTGTCCTACTCCTAGTGAGTAAGCTGCTTCAAAGGCGTTTTTCTGGTTTTGCACATGTCTAATAGGAATACGAGATAGTTTCTATTAGAAAGTTGTCTATGAAAAAAAAATTATTGCAATAATGCTAGGTAGTTACACGATAGGTGGGACCGGCGAAAAGCGCGTAAGTCAAGATCTAACGTTGCACACAGATATTTGTGGATTTGTTAAAGAAATCCAAGGGACCACTTGTTTAGAAAAGAAGTATGTAATCAAGAATGCAGTTTTCATTCACATCAAAATTTTCAAAATTGTATTAAATTCTATGTGAGACATCAAACAGAGTTATTCCGTTGCGATGGCTTCATAAAATTAAACAAATTCTTCATTTCACGATTCAATTCATAATTATAAAGCAGAGCTAAGAAGAGGTAAAGAATATCGAACTCCGTTCTCTGCCTTTTTCTGAACCAAAGAATAAAACAATAACTGCCTTTGTGCATATACAGCAACTGCATTGTCTGTGAGCAGAATTGTATATTAAATGCAAATTTTTTAAGAGAGATGTGAATTTTTAATGTATTTAACACAAATTATTATAAACTAATTCTAATATATAGGCGAAGTTATGTTTTGTCTATCAGCATTTTTTGAATTACCTGGCGCTAAAAAAACTTGAAGGAAAAACATGCGAGGAAATACCGTATTTCTGTAATAAATACAGTCCTTACCACAGTTATTATTCAAAGCATGTAATTTGATGCAAATTAATTACAATCATATAACGCGCAAAGTAAAATAATAAACCACGTAACTGTGACTTCGAATAATATTGTACAATATTTACATTAATTCACAGCCCGATTTCTTACTAACAGGACAAAATAAATTTCTGACTGATATTTTAAACTGTAGAAATTCCAGTTTTTAATTTAATCTCTTTAGTTAAAGAGGGGGGGGAACCGAGAACTGCTGCAATCTATCGATTCTTTATAGTGTTTTCTTTTTTTGCCTCCCCCTTAAAAAAAAAAAAAAAAAAACACTCGAGTAGCTATTCGCAAACTGCTGTTTATTCAATGTACAAAAAAGCAAATCGTGAAAGTTCTTTAAACTGATTAGAAATGAAAGTTTGTTTCTACTTTCACGTTGCTGTTATGCAGCAGCAAAGTAAAAGATATGCTTCACTTCAGAGCAAATATTGCCCTAATGATCTTTTTCATTTACATTGAAGTAAAAGAAATGCTCTGGGGAGGGTAATGTAATATACGAGTGTGCTGCAACCCTCCTGGCCAATAATAATCGGTCTCATGGTCTGCGGAGGGTATCATACTGTACGCCTATTACTTAAAAAAAAAAAAAATCTGAATTAAAAAAAATCAAGTCAATGTCATAATGTATCTACTAAATACCGTATTCCCCCCCTCCTCCGAAAATCAGAGAGGAAGATTATGCGAATAATTTAATCTCCGAAAGACACGGTTACAGTATAAACATAACAAACGAATAATAGTCGTGGATAAACTATAGGTAACTAGCAGAATATTATTACTCCATTAAAGGAAATCTATCTTCCAAGAATACATAATAATATTAACATTACAATACCTAATAAGATATCTTTATTTCTACTTTCCTGTAACTTTAAACTCGTTTTCTTATTGTTGTCTCTGCTACTCATTAAGCCTCATATCAGCTGTAGATGATTAGAGAAGGTGAATGTGCCAGCTAACTCAGCGGAATCGTAGTCTAAATGTCACTTCATGTTTGATTCGCTGTTATTGGTCGGTTCTTGTGTTAAGCTGGTATAAAATTCTACAGTTAGAAGCAAAAGGTTTGGTGTGACTTTTGCAGCTAGTTTGCGACGGTTTCCCTTCCTTAATATGATGAAAACAATCAATACGTTTACGAATCATTTGTAAAATTTACGGGAGCTCGTTTTTTGAATGCAGTTAAGAAAAAAATTACGCGAATATATATATATATATATATATTTTAATTTTCAGAACCTGGCGCTCAGAAACTTGAAGGAAAAACAAACATGCGAGGAAATGCCGTATTTCTGTAATAAATACAGTCCTTACCACAGTTATTATTCAAAGCATGTAATTCGATGTTCCTCCTCTTGCTTGGCGGAATATATCTCATTCGGCTATGAAAAACATTTCTCAAAGCCAACAGACATTACTTTTTCTTTTCTTCTTCTGCGAGGGCCACATAAAAATTTTTAATTTTTGCACATTTTGGCTAAAAATGTCATGTGACCAAAATTATCGCCCGAGTCATAATTTATTTGCATCATTTCTTAAACTGAATCCATGAGTCTGTCACTAGCTTTTCAAGAAATATTTAGATTCTCTTTATTAAAATCCTAAAAAACTAAAATAATGAAATACAATCCCTGCCTTTTTTGGAGGGTAATAAAGAGTTTATGTGTTTAAGAATTTAAATACATTATTCTTTGCTTCTGTGTAAGTTAGCTACATAATACACAGTTTAAATAACATACCGTTAAGAATCTCTTTTAAACTGTGAGCACTGCGTACGGAAACTTGAAACGCCTTACCGATATTCATCAAACTGTAGCTTAGTATTTATCTGAGCAACCAAAACTGCTCAATACTAAAGCGCACTTTTGCGTATAAATTAATTTCTTAAACTCATAATTCATTTCTGTAGTGTACAATGATTCGAATTCTATACCAAATTAATTTTTAAATAACGCATAATATATAACAGCACCTTTAAATATTATGCTGTTGGAAGATGAACTGAAATACAAAATATTTGGATATTAGCTTACCAGTGCTTGTTTGTATCACTTCAAACAGGGTTTGGGTATGATTTCTAGTAGTATAACCAGAGTATCTTCCATGTTGGACCTTATCAAACGATTCTCTTCATTTAGATTCCAAAAATACGCTTAACAGAAGCAAATATATTTATTATTATAACTACTCAGACGAGGGGTGACCAAACTTTTATATAAAAAAAAAGAAGCGCATGTTGGAATTCATGAAAATTCGAGAACCGTAACTAGATTTTCCAAAAGCCACAAGTCCATATTAACATCATTTTAAAAGTAGTAAAACAAGTTTCAGATGGAAAGGAACGTTTGATAACTCTGTAAAATTAAATTAAAGTAATTAATTACTTTCTTTTGAATATCGAGTAGTTTTAGTTCACCATATTTCGTACACGTATTTTACCTACATAAGAGCTGCATTTCTCGCATGTGAGAGCCAAACGTGGCTGGCAAGCCACGCTGTGACCACCCCTGGTCTATCAACCGATGTTCTCAACCGATGGTACGCAAGAGAAAAATAGGTGGTACGCAAAGAAGCAAAATATTTGTAACTATTAAATTTAAAAATTAAAACCCCAACATACTGATTTAGTTTTTTTCTAACACTCGTAAATTTATGCGATCTGACCTTTGTTCAAGAGTGGTGGTGGTGGTAGTAGTAGTACTTTGTAGTGGTGGTACTAAAGGTTTTCAATTTTTATTTAGATGTCCGTTAGTCAAAAGGTTGAGAACCGCTAAAATAGACTTTCCCCATCTGCGTATTAAATAAACTATTCTCGTGTTTAGACCATTAAATAGACTATTCCGATCTGCCTTTTCGATGTACAATTTTTTAATTACTCATATTTGTTATTAAGAATACATAAAAAATAAAAATGAAATGAAAAACGTTACCAGCTGAATTTCTAATAGAAAAGGAAGATTTATAAAAAAAAAAAAAAAAAAAAAAAGCTTTTCTATTTAGGAGATAAAAATTAAAACAGGATTATTATTAAGATTTTCTGATTTGTTCTAGCTTTTATCTAGGGCAATTTTATATTATAAAAACTATATTTCAACATTTTTAAATCAACTGCGTCAATTTTACTGCACCTAAAAAGCAAAATACTATTACGTAATAATAATAGTAGCATAATACATAATAGTAATAACAGTATGAAGCTAGAAAATATACATTATTTACACTTACTGTTGCATAATTAGACGGTAAAATCCCTGGATAGGCGGACTGTGAAAGGCTATTAGTCACAGGTGGTAAAGCTCCGCTTGTCACAGTAGTTCCACCTGAACCATTTGAAATAGAAGTCGTGTTGTTCAGAACTGTCGGACCTAGTAAATAAAACATGACAGAATTAATATAAATTAACAGAGCTGAAGAATTAAGAAATAAGATAATAAAGATCAGGTAAATTTTCTAAAGAAAGATCAGGCACAGTGCAATTAACGAAAAATTTTTTTCATACTGAATTTTTTTATAATGTAAAGACTATTATTTCCTAAGTAAGCTATTTATAAACCATTAAATTTCCACCATTGTTTTATCACTGCATTAATGAACCAACAAACACATCTGTTTATCACAGTAATACTTTTTAACCCTTGTACTAGCATGATGCATTTGATGTTTAAATATATTACACAAAGAAGATACAAAATTGACTTATTCTACAAGCATATTCGCGACAAAATTAAGTCTCTAAATTTGACACATCTTTAACAAATAAAACTGGCTGACACGAGGCTGAGGTTTAAGCAAGTGATATTTTTACAAAAGAATACGGTAAGCCATTTTTAATAATAACTGCAAATTAACATTAATTACGGAGATTTCAGCGAAGGAGTTTAGCTCGGACATTTGCAAAGGTTTGAGTCTGATAATTTGACTGTGCTAATTTATTAAAATTCATTGTATGTAACGAATAAACATTTTATTGATAACAATTCTATGCCGATTAGTCTGAGTAAGTAACCGAGCTTGATCCAGACAATTTCACATCTTAAGAAAAGTATTCTTTTCGATGTCCCCTAATATTTTCACTTTTTTTTTTTTTTTTTTTTTTTTTTTTTTTTTTTTTTTTTTTTTTTTTCTTTTTAGGAGACTAAAACAAAAGTAAACAGAATATGAGGCAGTAAAAATGTGGGTTCTTAGGTTGCAGTTCACATACATTTACAGTACTTGTGTTTACAAAACTTGTTTATAAATTTACTGCTTCATAAAAAACAGGGGCGTAGCTAGAGGGGGGCAAGGGGGGACATCTGTCGCCGGGCGCAGAATCCAAGGGGCGCCAAACTGATGTTACGACATCTTAGAATTAAATGTTTTCCATCCTTGGCAAGCAGTAGGGGGCGCGAAATCTTCATTTGTCCCTCGGCGCTGAAAACCCTAGCTACGACTCTGATAAAAAAATGTTTACAAAGCTTGGTAGAAATACTGGCATGGGAATACAAAGGAAATATTACTTTAACAATTCACAAAAGCTAAAGTAATTTTCGCAGCTACTATTGCTTGGAAACATATAACAATGAAATGCCACAAAAAACTTAACCAAAATTATGGCCAAAAACTCCAAGGCGGCGAAAATTTTGACGATTCAATAACCACAACCAAGTTATTGAAAAGAGTTAGAAATTTTTCTCCGAACGTAATCCAAAATGTGTTAAATCCACAGGAAGCAGAAGAAATGTGAAACGACAAATGAAAAATGAAAGATTCAACCAAATTTCTTGCTGAAATGTTACATAAATTTGTAAAGTTCATGGGGATGGGAGGAAAAAACTTAAAACTATAATTTTGAATAAATAATGAAGACTGATGTTCTTAGAGTGTTTTTTTAATTGTTAATTAATTTTTAAACAGTGAAATTTATAAAGTCAGCGGTTATTCGAATTTTATTTGAGAAGACTTCATGCGCTGGCAATATTGAAGACTTCAAAATAAAAAATGTTTGGTTACAATACCAATATAGTGACACTATAATACACAATTACACTATGAACTTAATGGTCACTATTTAGTTTTATTTACAGTAAACTCTTCCCGAATGAGTGGGTTGCGTTCATTTTACTTGGGACAATAAATGACATAACTCTTTAAAAAGTTCCATGGGAAGAAGCGCAGAGTTTTTTCAGTGCCTCTCATAACGTCTTCTCTTCTTTCATCGTTTGGTTCAATATCCATTGCAAAATCAGGCAAGTCACGTGCCCTTTTTTAACAACGTCTTTAAAGTTAAAGGAGCTAAAACTTTTCCTTCAGTATCTCTATTTTCACTATCGGCTGGTGTGATAGGATTATCCAATTCTTCATTCGTCATTTATCGATAATATCTTTCATTTCTGTTTCTTCTGTATCTGAAACTCCTTCGCCGCCAGCTGGCTTTTGCAATGTTCCCTTTTCAGTCGATGGAAATCCTTTAAAATTGTTGATAATCACGTTCCGCAAATCCGCGCTCGGCAAGGGTTTACTGCCTTAAATGTTTGTAAGATTGGTTTTAAAATTTTTATTCGTTTTTGAATATATACAATAAAATGGAAAAAAAAAATTTTTTTTTTGGCATTATACAATTTCACTTCACGAATCCTCAGTCACTACTCCGCTGAAACCCCCGACAATGCCGGATTATCGGAATTTTGCCACAGTGATCTTTTCTCTTAACCAAACTACCACTTTGACATTGATAAAACTGAGCAAAACGGTACGTTTGTTTTCCACACCATATTAGTGAAATGTGTAAGTAACACAAATAACAGTTTTTCAAAAGGAGTTAGGTTAAGTTATTTAGTAAAGCAAAGCAACTCGAGGGCTACCTGTCTTTCAGAGAGGGAAGGGAATGGGGGCAAAACCGAAATTCATTTTAAGTTAAAACAAGAAATGGGCTGAAAACGTTTCCTCACAGATTCTAATTTTTAAAAGTTTTCTGCTATTTCAGAAGGGCTATCTCGCCCCCAAGATGATAGCTATAGATTTTAATCGGCACGTATCATGAGCTTCATTAATTTACATTAAATTCATTACTTAGGATAATTAACATTTTTGTTTTCAATCCGTATTTACTCACACTTTGATAACAGTTCGCACAAGAAAACACATTAAAGTGCCTAAATGCCAACAATGCGGTCAACACATAAAAGTGCCTAAACGCCAACAACAACCCGTGAATTATGTCGAACGCCATATTAAACGTGATAATCGGATCAAATTTAGTTGCTAAATTACGCACTGTGAGATATAGCCAACATTAAACAAAGTAAAGATTGGAGTTATAACAGCAGAGGTTCTCAATCGGGGGGGTTATAGTTTCGGAGGGGGTGCGGTCAGCCTTTAATTTACCTGTTAAATATTTAGTTTATGAACATAAAAAATTACTTTTACCGAAGTTTTGATAGTTATCAACATTTTATATACTTTTCCTTGTTTAATTTATAAAAACACATTTAAAATAATCTAAATTTAAATAAATAAATATGTATTTTTCCAGTTTTTGGAAAGGAGACGGGATGATCATCTAGCAGTGCTGAAAGGGATGCATGAGACAATAAAGGTTGAGAACCACTGTATTAGAGCATGGCAACACTCACTAAGGCCTTCGTGACAAGACTTTCTAAGAGAAATTGGCTCGTAATTCAATACACAAAGGGAAAACCATGAAAAATGCCAAACATCCGGCCCGTTCGCCGGATATGGAACCCTGGTCCAACTAACACTGTTAACCAATTTTATCAGCTCGGTCTCTGGTAGGCCTTCAAATAAAATACGAATATACGAATAAAGTATACTTGTATATTACGTATTAAATAAAAGTCTGTACACAGCAGTTATACTTTGTCTCCTCCGTATGAAAGCAGGAATTTTGATATTTTAGCATTATCCTTAAAAGAGCAGTCACGAGAAATATATTGCCTGTACTCTAAGACTATAATATACTCTTTCAAGGGAAGGGTAGAAATAAAAATAATTCTTTTAACTATGAATAATATTGTTTGTATAGCACTAAACATAATTCGGAGCAGAGATCAGGCAAAGAAGGATTAGTCAAATGAAGATGAAAGACAGTCAAATAATCTATGACCACTGATAGTATATCCCTTACCAGTACAGTAGGCTCCGCTTAATTGTAATTACATTTGTCCACGGCTATTTTGATAACATTCACCGAATGATAATATTTAACGATAAGAAAAAATATCCTTCAAAATTGTCATGGAATTTAACTTAATATAACTAGAAACATATACATTAATAGGCATTTTTCACAGCATTTTAAACAGCAAAATGCAAAAGTTAACTCATCATAATGTTTTTAATGCAAAATTTCATTTATGAACGGAGTTTTGAAGGATTATTTGACCAGCAATTTTCTCGGAAAGTATCCCTAATTGGAAGAGAAATTGCTAATGTAAAATCTAAAATTGAATAAAAAAAGTACCCTTAGTTTGGCGTAGATGTTTTCGAGAATCCCCTACCCCCAGGAAAACAAAATCAAGCTCATATTTTTTTTTTTTCGTTTTTGAAGAAGAGGAACCAGTGTACGAGCTCCTTACAATTGATAAAATTACTGAAATCCATTATCAAACTAAGCCCCTCCCAATTTCAACTAAAATCGAAACCAAGCTTTCTGGCGACTTAAATCCTAACTTCTAGTACTTTTTTGTAACTTACCAATTTTTATAATGTATTGTAACCGTATTTGTCAAATTTATCTTTTATTCGGCGACTTTAGTTTAAAAATGTATTTTATAATAGTTTGATAATATTAACCGAATTGCTTTTGTTGTTGCTGCTGCTAATGCTCACTTGTCTGACGTAGTCAGCCAAGCCCACGAAATTCCTGCTAGCAAGGAGCGCTACAATACGCTTGCCGTTGGCAACAGCCTTGAGCACCATTCAGGTGACAGTGCGATTTAGCTCAGTTCTGCCCTCACCAAACCACACGAGAGGACTTTCGGCTCGCCGCATATTTAGAGTGCCGCCATGCCGCACCGACACAATACATTTACAAACATCCATGCTTTTTCTGGATTCGAACCTGGGCCCTTCGGCACGGCAGTCAACAACGCTAACCATTATACTGGTTGGGCAGCACCGAATTGCAAAAAGGCGGGACTTCCGCAATTAGCTACTTAGGAACGATAACATAAATCGCGATCATATTAAGCGGAGTTTACATTCACTGAGCAAGATGTCAGAAAAGAAATTCGCGAATCTGACATAAGATATGTTAGCAGCGAACAAACGTAAGACCAATTCTATCGCCCGTATTTGGTTACATTGAAACGATCGTCGATGTTCCACTGTCATGTATCTGGCTACGGTCAGCCAATCAGCTAGCTGC